CTCGGATTGGATGACGACCTTGACTCTGATGATATAGCGATGATAGAGGGATGGCACGAGGATGACTAGTGTCTCCTTGGTCATGTGATGGATAGGCTGCTCATTAGGACTTATTATGTTTTATATCTTATAAATGTTGGAAAGAAAGTCCTAATGTATTTTTATTGTACTGTAATGAATATTTTGTAAATGTTACTTTTGTATAATTATGAGAATAATGTATGTTCATATATTTTAACATTTTTTCTCCAGATTCTGTTTAATCATTATTGTCTCGTTATTCAAAGTTCTATACAATTGAGCAAAATGAATAGAATGCATGAAAATTTTACTGTTATATTTGGCCAGTAAATAAAAAATTTATTTTATTTTCTATTAATTCTTAATTTTATTATTATTATATAAAATAAAAATAAAGATGTTACAATTTATGCTTATGATTGAAGTTTAATGATCAAATCTAACAACTAAATTTGACAAATATTATGTCTAGTTGATAAAATCATATCAGCTGCAACTTATAATTAGGGTGACAGATAGAGCATTTAAATACAGTAAGGATTTCTCAAAGAAATCTTACCCTCCCTAGAGTTCTAATTGATACCTTTATCTTTGCTTTCATTACCATACTCAAATTACACATCATTTAAACTCATACATAATGTTAAATCACATAGCCACAAAAAGAAAAAAATGCAAGATGAGAAGAATCAAACTTGAGTTTTTTTTTTTTCAAATATGTTAGTGCTTGTTGTGAGTAAGAATCTGAATCCAAATTCAAATCCAAATCAAAATCAACAATGGTGAAAAACAAATCCAAGATAAGAAAAAAAAAACCTGAGTGCTTATCAAATTTATGTTATGGTTTGTCCTTCTTTCACCATTCTCATAAGATGGTTAATGGTGCTGTGAGAGTGGTTTAAGAGTCGTGAGGATGTCGACGGTGTTGTGAAGATGTTGGTTTGAGGGTGTCAACTGAGCTGTAAGGGTGTCGACTGAGGGTATCAATTGTGAGGGTGGGCGTCAACTATGAAGGTGTTGAACTAAAGGCATCGACTGTGAGGATGGGCGTCAACTACGAGGGTGGACGTCAATTGTGAGGGTGTCAAGGGCCTGTATTGTGCTATGATGGTGTGTAAGTCCTAACCTAATTTTTACTTAATTTACAAAAATCATTAATGAAAATTGAATTTTTCGCATTGTCAGAGTTTTGAGAGGAGTTTTAGGGAGAGAAATAAAAAATTAAAAATAAAAACACCATAAGAGCTATTCTAAATTTTAGTTTTAAAAACTGAAAATAATTTTTTTTAAAAAAATAGTTTTTAAAACATAAATTAACAAATAACTTTTTTAAGTTTTTTTATTTTAAAAATTGAAAACTATATTTAAAAAGGGAAAACAAGTGGCCCCTATTTTTTTCTTTTTATACTTTTATTTTTTTTATTGTTTTTGTTCTTCCTAATCATTTCTAGGCTTATTCTCTTGGTTTGTAATCTAATAATCAATTATAGGGTTTAAGAGGAGCTCAAATTAGAATCGATGACAAAATAATAAATCTTTAATGATCTCTTGTTAGCCTTAATTTCTTAATTTATTTCTTAGTATTCTTAATGCTTGTGAATTTGTTGGACTCTTTATTTATATGATTATATATATTAATGTTTTATTTGAGAGTTAGCAAAAGTGATGGAAAATGAATGTAACATTCTAATTTTTATTACTTTTGTATTTTAAATGAAAGAGTTTTAAGTTTAAAATTATAATATTTCTTACTCAAACGAGAAATGGCTCGCTTAAGCGAGATAGTTCTTGCTCAAATAAGAATGAATAAGAATTTCTCAACTGTGTTATTTCTTAGGTGAGGAGTCTTTTTGCTCAAGCGAGAATAGGCAACAAAAATAGGAGTTTTCTGGAGCATTTTCTCTCAAGCAAAAATCATCTCACTCAAGCAAAAATATTAGCAAATGTGTAAAAAATTTCTATCTACTTTATTTGCTTAAGCAAGAATGGTCTTGCTTTAGCGAAAATTATCAAGAATAAGGGTATTTAAGTAACTTCAATGTTTTTAAAACTTAGATTGCAAGACAAGTAACCATTTCTCATTTCACTCTTTATTCTCTCACTTCCTTCTACAGCTAAGACACCTTTAAACTCTAAACCTCTCTTGAATCTAGGTTTGAACATTTTTTCCACTTGAATTCCAGTACGTTTCTTAGAGATTAAACTTTCAATCTCATTCACATTTCATCATTTTCTTTCTTCTTAAAAGTTACTCTACTTTGTGATGCTTAGGAAGAATTTGGTCTTTCAAACAACATCTTCCATCAAAGCCTCTGTGTGAATCATCTACTCAAGGTAAGGAGAGTTTTATCTCATTGTTAAAATATTGTATACAATTCTTGCCTTTGTATATGGTTATTTACTTCTTTATTTTAAAAATATAAGTCAAAAATAGTTTCTTTGAGTGTTGAGAGTTAAGATTTGACTCAAGGATTATTTGAATAAGAGTTTTTCAAGAGAAAGTGAGGAGAAAATAAGATTTTGGGTTATTTGCTTTAAGTTAATGAACTAGACGATGCATGCTTGACTGTTTCTTAAATGCTTAAGATATGATTTATTAAAAATATGCGATTTGGATTGAGTTCAAAAGTGTCTGACCTTCGACATGACTTATTTAAATGTATGATAAGGAATAAATGAAGGAAAATATGTTATCAGCAAATATGGTTAAGAAAAGAATTAGTGTGGATAGTTACAAAGATATACTAGGAGTATGAAGGATAAAGATGATTTAAAAAATCTGGAAGAAATATAGGATGGTGAATGTTATTCATGGTTGCGTATAATTTAATGAGAGCGAAAGCATCACAGGCCACATACTTATTTCTCGACTAAGACTTCTGACTATACTTTTACTATGGGACTCAGTTTGTATACGTTGTATCCTTGTTGCGACGGCTAACCGAAGATTATCCATACATGTGGAAGACCTCAAGGAGTCTTAGGGGCAATGATTAGTTATGATAAAAGCCTAAAAGAATGTTTAAAGAGCTAAAAGATTATGATCACTGTGCACAAAAGTAGTGTTTACATATGAATATCGTGTTGAATAAAGTGATTTTAATGTGTTATAACTTTACTGATATAACTTATCTTTGTGTTTGGTTGTTATGAATTTATTAACTTAATTGTTTAGTTTTATTGTAGTGGTGAAAAAAATACTTATTCTTAATCACATTTTCAAGAAATAAAAATGACCACTCCTTAGAGGTCAATTAGGAGGACTGAGTGGAGTTTTGAAAATAGATATATTTATGAAGTGACAGAGAGTCTGGTATTGTAAATATATTTTAGTTAGTGCGCATGGATTCAGAAAAGTATTTTCTATAGAGATCACAATAGGGTATGATATTCCCTTTGATTATCTTATTAGTGGTAGGATTTATCACACTTTCGATTTGTATGTATATAGAAGGACAGTCAGGACACCAACTGTGGTAAATTACATATATACCTTTCATAATCATGACCAACTGGAAAGATTAGTCTTTTTTACTTGGGAGCAGGTAATTGGCATAGAGGTCTCAACTGACATTAGAGACCATTATGATAAAGACTTGACACAAAAAGAGATGGAGGAAATAAATGACTGATTTGATGAAGATTGATACAAATTAGGATTATATTCTCAGGAGGATTTTGTGGGGGAATAATTTGCTCATTAAGACTTGGTGTATTTTGACTTTATAATTATTTAAATTAAGTCTTAATGTATTTTTGTTTATGACTTGTAAATATTGAACTTATGTAATTATGTAACATCAAATATGTTAATAACTCACTACTGTTCAAATTTCATTTTATTTAACAAGTTGTGTTGTAATAAGAACCATTTGATTGTATTTTAAATTCTTCCATTTTAAATATTACTAAACTTTTTATGAATCCAATAGTGAGAAATAAAAGTTTTAAAATTTTATTGAATTTTCTTTATGACGACAATTGAGAAAGAATCAATTACTAAGTTAATTAAAATTTTAAATTTCTTACAAATTATTGAAAAATAATTTATCAATTAAGAGCATCACAGCGAAGTTTATGATAATTATTTTTTTAAGAATTTTTAGATAAAAAAAAGTTATTTATAAATATTCTATAACCCTTCTAAGTTTATGTTTTTTAATTCTACTAATTTGAGAATTTTTTTTATTAATTATCATTTCTTCTTATTTATCTTTTTCTTTCCTACTCTTTAAACTTTTTTCTTTCTTTTTTCTCTCAAAACTTTTGAATAAAGCTAAAGGAGACTAGAAAATAAACCTTACTATTAAAAATCTTAAAATTAAATTTGAGATTCTAGATCACAAAAGTAAACTAATTTTTTTGAAGAATTATCAAATTACCATATAATTTAATGAATTTAATTAATTTTGATTGCCATAAAAGTAGAATTAATTTAGTTAAACTACGTTGTTGTATTTTGAAAGAAAAGAATAATCACCTCACCTCCAAAATAAATTAATAGTTAAAAAAAATCTATCTTAATTAAGTTTCTCAATTTTAATTTACCATGAAACTACTGAAAATTTGTTAGAATTTGAATTTATTAATGTTTTTAATTCTTTTGTCTTTTTCAATTTTCTCTCTATTTAATCTTGTCAATTAATTGTGTTTAGATAATTAAGTTACAAATATTTAGTGTTTAATAGCAGTATGTGTAAATACAATATGACATCTGCACGCCTAAGCAGAATCCACTCTCTCCTTTGTTGCTGTTGCACGCTCCTTTTCCTCTTTCTTTTTAATTTTAATTTTGTTTCTCTCTCTGCGCGCGTCCACTGCTCCTGAGGCTTTGTCTTCCATTTCTAGTTAATGAGGTATTTTTATTCAAAACGCTTAATTGAATGACGTTTTGGGCCTTTTGGCCCATTCCACGGCATCTTTTTTAACAATTGAAGTAAGCTTTAAAAGAAAAGCAGTTAAAGTCAGCGTGTGGCGTGTGCTTACTAAAACAGTTCTCCCGCTCCAACAAAATCAAATTAAGAAATCATCAACATAACAAAGAACGAATGCCTGAAAGGCAAAACGAAACCTGCATTGAAAATCTGATTGTTTCTCCCTGCAAAGGCAAAACATAGCGAAGATGACTTCAATTTGCGACACAGATATTCCAGTTCTACTGCACAGCATGGACGCTTTCACCGCTTCCTACAGAGACTCCCTCCAATTAGTTAGAGCCAAAGCTCTCCAAACCGCTGAATCTCAAAGTCAATCTCTCCGCTTCGCTTAAACGCTCTTTGTTACCATTGAGTTAGGGTTTACAATTTTCGACACATATCTTAACTTCTCTCTTTCTTTCTCAGCTAAACTAGAAGAGGTTAAAGCTAAGCTAAGAGAGGCCGAAGATGAATTCGTGAAGGCACTCACAGGTACTCTTATATATCTCTCTTTCTCAATTCAAATTCATTTCGCTATTTATATATAGATATATATGTTTTTGGTTTGGCATTGCGTTTTACTTCTGGTGCAGTTAAGACTCGCGGAGAGGCCAAGCGAATGGCTTTGAACGATGCTATTGCTTCCGTGAAAGGCAGAGTTGAAGTTCTTAAGAAGAGTATTCTGAAGCAGGGAATCAAAATTGAAGAATGTGCCACGTTTGGTAACTACATGTTTCTCTGCAATGGCAATTATTAATAGCTATCTACCTTGAATTATTAGGGTTTACTTGTTTGTTGCAACTTCCATATCAGGTTTTACCTTTTTCGATTAAATATATTTTTAGTCCTTATATGTATTTTTAAAAATTTTGGTGTTAAATTTTGGTTTTGGTTCCTACACCGCAGACGAATTTTTCCTGGTTTTAAAACTATAGGGATTTAGTACTAAGTGTTTAAAGTATAGGGAGTAAAAATCAAAATTGAGAAAAACTACAGGGTTGGCTGGTTTGGCTCTCTCTCTTCTCTCTCTGGTCTCTATCTCTTTCTAGGATTTTCTCTTTTCCCTTTCTATTATCACAATGCCAGTGCGGTTGTGGTGGTTTCCAACAGGTTAGAGGCAGTAGTGGCAAACTGAAACCTTTCAATAGCTGCAATGAGGTTAATTGTTAGAGACATAGCGGCGAAGAATCAGGAAAGAAGGTGACTTGTTGAGGAGAGAGGAATGAAAATGACAAACAAGTCTTGGAGGAGATGATCTTCTTCGATGCAAAAGAGTTTCTTAGTGCTAGGTTGGCCTGAGGAAGAAGATGATGGTGAATGACAATGGTAGTTTTCAGCGAGGTGATTTTTAGCAATGATAGTGTTAAGGAAGAATAAAGAAGAAGAATGATGGTAGATGAAAGGTTTTAAGAATTTTGAGGGAAAAAATGCTTGAAGCTAACAATATTAAGGACTATAATAAAAACATATAACATACCGTATACAATGTCATTTTTGTCACACAATCAATTATATATATCACTTAACGTAACTTGTCAACATTCTGTTATTGTGTGTTGATGGAGTGTAGTTCGAGGATTAAAGTGATTGACAGAGATAAAAGTTAAGGACTAATAGGGAGATTTTAAAACCTTAGAGATTAAAATATTCAATGCTAACAATCTTAGGGACTAAATTGAGTGTTTAGTCATATTTTTAGCATGAAAGACTGGAAGAGAATGCTATAGGTGATTAATGTTGCATAATTAGTCTAATTAATCCCTGACTGAACTAACCAAACTTAAATGGCTCTCTAACTATGGTAATAGTTTGTGAGTTGTATAATTTATTATGCCTGATATGCACAGATATATATAAGGTACTAAGGTGTCCATAATCACATGTTTTTCAAAAGATTGAAATAAAACTTGGTCCAGATAACTGGAGTCTGATAAAGATTGTGTTTACTCAAGGTTAAGACTTCGTGAATCAAATAAATTGTATTGGTTGGGATTGTTGAGACATTAAGATGCCCATCGACCATCTTGGTCCAGTTTTGGCACTGAAATTACATTTTAAGTAGCTATTTCAACATGTAATTCAAGTTTAGTTTCCTTCCTTAAAAAGCAAAGAAAGAGCTTTAAGGGGAGGGATTAATGTGGTCTGAACATTCAATCTGTATATCAACTTTTGCACTTGTTTTTATGAGGGCATATTTAGACTTTTGTTTTTGGCTCCTTTTCACTTCCTCTGTCTGCATTTTTGTACTTATAAATTTTGCATTATTAGAAATGCTATGAACTATTCTCAGCTCCTCTCCCCTCTTCTTTTTTCTTCTTTAAAAAGTTTTGGCAGCATCTAAAGAGAAATCAAATGAAAACATTGAATATAAAGATGAAATTCAGGGGGCCATATCTTGGTACAATAGGATCCTCGGTTTTCATGTTGAAGGTGGACATGGTAAATGAAATTAATATTTTTTGTTTAAGGATTGTCCTTTTCAAATTTGATATCCTTACACAATCTTCTGATTGTCAGGGATAAAATTCACCTTCAAGAATATTAATGTGGACAACCCAAATGAGGAGTACTTTTTTACCATCCGCCATGAAGATGACACATACACACGTGACCATCCTATATGAATTTTTTTTAATGATCTTAAAGTAGATTGCTTTACTTCATGAAATCAGAATTTAGTAATTTATATTGCAGTGTTAAATTGTGAACCCCTTCTCAAAGACACTGAAGAGTTGATCCATGAATTAAACAAGACAAATGGGCTATTTAAATTTGTCAGAACAATGAGGAACAAGTTCCAAGAATCAGTGATGCAAGGTATTACTGAGGCTCTATTAAATGATTTCATTCATGAGATGGGGGAGTGAACTGGCCCTTTGTCCAGTTCGGTTATTATCTGGAGCCATGACTACTGAAAATCAGGAATGAACCACTTGGATTTGTTGGGTTGGACTCCCAACTATGTGTCCAAAAAGTCCAAATTTTCAAGCTCATCTTTTTCACTTAATTGAGGGGAGTGAGAAGTCAGAAGAGTGGGTGAAAGAAGTCTAAATTGGAGTGTTTTTCCTTTAGCCTGGGGGTGGGTATTCTTCGCAGAGACATCAAAAGAGAGAAGGGAAGTGAGAGAAGAAAAAAAGCTTCAGACCAGCTACTTCATTCCTATGATATTCGATTCGATCACCGTTGGATCAGGCTGAAAATTTTACAGCAGGTTCATAACACGGTGCTCTTCGTTCTGACTGTTCGGATTATCATTTGGAGATATTGTCTTTGCACAGAAGCTCTATTTTGGTGACTCTGCACAGAACAGCCGTAGAGAAATCGTTATTTCTCCTTATTCAACCGTTGGATTGAGCTGAAACTTTGACAGTAGTTCCCAGACGTATAGTTCTTCGTTCTGACCGCTAGGATCGTCGATTGGAGGTTTTGGCTGAGAGAAATCGTGTCTGAACAGCAGTCCTGTTTTGTGAGATTTTCTCTCTTTGGTTCTTCACTGTAGGCTTTATTGCTTTGTTGTATTAGCTGGTTGTTTGCACAAATTTGTGCAGTATTTTGAGTACCAAGAGAGAAGTTTGAGTACTGTTGTGAGATCGCCGGATTGGCAGTCACCTCCACATAGTTGTGAGGGGGGAGAATAAAATCTCAAAATACTGCACAAATTCGTGCAAACAACCAGCTAATATAACAAAGTAATAAAGCCTACAATGAAGAACCAAAGAGAGAAAATCTCACAAAATAGGACTGCTGTTCAGACACGATTTCTCTCAGCCAAAACTTCCAATCGACGATCCCAGCGGTCAGAACGAAAAACTATACGTCTGGAAACTGTTGTCAAAGTTTCAGCTCAATCCAACGGTTGAATAAGGAGAAATAACGATTTCTCTGCGGCTGTTCTGTGTAGAGTCACCAAAATAGAGCTTCTATGTGAAGACAATATCTCCAAATGATAATCCGAACAGTCAGAACGAAGAGCACCGTGTTACGAACCTGCTGTAAAATTTTCAGCCTGATCCAACGGTGATCGAATCGGATATCGTAGGAATGAAGTAGCTGGTCTGGAGCTTTTTTTTCTTATCTCACTTCCCTTCTCTCTTTTGATGTCTCTGCAAAGAATACTCACCCCCAAGCTGCAGGAAAAATACTCCAATTTAGACTTCTTTTACCCACTCTTCTGACTTCTCACTCCTCTCAATTAAGTGAAAAAGATAAGTTTAAAAATTTGGACTTTTTAGACACATAGTTAGGAGTCCAACCCAATAGGATTTTGTAGAACTGGTAAATCATTTCCAATTCAAAAGGTTCATCCAAGTTGAAGTTGGTGGTGTTGCACAGTTGCGGCCCATTTCAGGGGAAAGGGTCCTGCATGGATTCTATTCATGGCTTACAAGTTGTGGCTAGTGGCTACCACTAAGCCTAGTTGCATTGCACCTATGGTAGTATACCATATATAATAGAAAAAAGTTAATTTACTTTATCATTAGCTTTGAAAACTGCAAAACACTTGTTCTTTCCGGAAAGTAGTTAGAAAAAAATTATATACTTTTAACTTATTTACATGATAACCTCATTTTTAAAATTTATATTTAATCGGTTTCACATGTTTTCTACCGAAACATTAATTAAAAACATATTAAAAGGTAAATATTCTGTTTATATAATTTAACATCAATAATTTCAAATATATTGTTATAATGAGGTTTTTTTTCTTTTAATTAATCAAATGAATGTTTGATATATTTATAATGGAATTATTCCACCATATTTTTAATAATTTTTTTTATAACTTTCATGTTTCTTTATCATTGATTATTTTCAATATTTTTTTTTCTTATAAAAATATACTTGAACCTGGATTTTTTCTGACTGAGCTTATATCCCTTTGGTTTGATGACCCGTCTTGAAACATTTACGAAAACGGGGCTTATAAATTTCTACCAAACAGGAAGCTTATCTATGATGACGAAAGAACATCAAGAATCTGCTTTTATCTCTGCATCTGCTCCATCTTTTTCAATATCAACCATTAGAAGTTATTCTCCAACCAAGGGAAATGAGCATCTAGGTGGACTCGCTAAAGGTAATACACATCTCACGAAACAACACAGTCCAAGAAAGGTAAAATCAGCAATTGTATCTCCCGGCTCTGCATCATCTGTTCGTCAATCTCCTCGTTTGAAGGTATGGATCAAATTGGTCTTATATTTATTGAATTTCATTTTCTGTTTCTGCACTAAGTGTTACTACCATATCAGGATTCTCCTTGTGAGAATTTTTGTTCGTTTACTGTTATTTTCAACATGAATGTTTGATTATGAAGTTTCTTTAAAGCCTTTTTCTAAATCTTGGTATGACTTGGCAATGTAAGCTGAGAGAAAGATGGTTATGGTTAATATCATTGCTTGACTTGGGTCTTTTGCTTCCATTAAAGTATAAGCCTACTATGTGGTTGAAGGAGTGGATAGTGACATAGAATGTTATAACCTGCAACAGCTAATTGTCAGCTTCTAGGGAAATTGATTTTATGTTGTTTGAAATCTTGAACACAACTAATTAAATCATTAAGAATGTTAGAAACACACTACGAATGGCAAGGATTTTATAGTAGTGGCTGAATTATATATTGATATTGTCTAATGTTTATTTATAAATAAATTGATGTATGTAAGTAATCAGTTGCTTTGGTCCCGAGTTTGTGCTAGGAATGGATTTTATCCTGCAACTTACAACATTGTGTAAAGAGGGAATTATGATAAACTTAATTGTCTTGTTTTTGTGTTCTGGCTTGACATATATATGAAAAAAAAATAAAAATACTAAGGAGGGTATTTGCCAACTTTAAGAAACAGCATAATTCAGTACAATGGGGCTGGTGTACTTTATTGAAATCTTATGTGTTTTGTAGTCACTGAAAAATTGAAAATTAGTTTATATATGATTTGTTTCAAGTCTAAACTGGTTCAGAAGAAATCCAATAGAATGTTGGTTTTAAACTAACTAATTGATGATTGAATTAAAAGTTTCCTTCTTTCTCTCCTCTTTTCTTTTTATTTGGTCTGAAATTTAAATAAAGGCATACCAAAATTTAAAACAATGTTTAACCTTAAACATGATAAAAAACCAAAGTTAGCTAAACAATATATTGTGAACTTTTCTCAAATTTTTACATATTTATTAACCAGTTTTCTGTGTTGCTGAAACACTTGCTAGATGTTGATGACTTGATGTTCGCTGTTTAGGACAAGGAAAATTTTAACTCCTTTGTTATCTAGCTTGGCTTTCCTTCTTTTTAATCGACATTGGATTGTCCATTACCTGATCTATTGTGCCACCTATATGCATGTTCGTTTTATGATCTATTTATTCTAGATCATTGATACAAATATTGTTCTGGAAATATGATTTTGAAGGAAGACTTGAGGAACATACTTGATAATATTTATGTTCATTGTGTCCTTAATGCTACTCATCCTTTTGGATTTTTGCTATATGGATAATAGATTGAAAAGATTTTTGCTTCATGGACAATTTGTTTGATGTTTGGTCCTTGATGGATTCTTTTGTCCCATGCTCAGTGCATCAGATGCGGCGAATCACCAATGACCATCATTAATCTGTTTCCTTGCATAATTGAATAGTGTAAAAACTTTAATGGCAGAATTTCTAGATAATGAAATCATGAAAATTATATATGATTTGCATTTGTATAGTATGTAAAGTGTCTGTAAGATCAGTTATGCTGAGGTCTAAATATACGGCAGGCCAGAAAATGAATTGGAGTAGGGGATGCTGGACACCTCATTTTGGTGAGACGTGCTGATTACCTGAAATATTCGTGTTGGCTTTACTCATGACTCATTGCTAACAAAATGACACGCAAGTCAAGACATATCTAGATTCTGGATGTCTGTACCTGTATATAATAGATCAGAAGATCTCTCCATTTTTTAGTATGGCCCATTTGATATATTTATGTGCGTATTTTGTCATGTATTGTTGCTAAACTGGTAAAGTTCTTCAATACACTAGTCATTATGGTGCTGATATCTTGTTTTGGCATTGTAAATGAAATATTGTTTTGGGAAAAGGATCTGTATGATCCTTTTATTTATTTATTTATTTTCGATTCCCTTATCTTCTGCATTTCAACCTTCTGGATGAAGTCTGTCTCTCTGGTCCATTTTTAAATGGAGTCTGGAGTTCAGGAAATATAATATAATATACACGTGTATGGTTTGGTTCCTTATATATAGTCCTGATCACCGTGAAGTAATTTATTGCTGTGAAAGTAGCCTTGGCTCTAAAATTTGTTTTATATAGTATTTCAGCTGTCGCTTTATTATCGCAGAAGATTGTATGCTTTATGCTCTCTTATTTGTACATTTAATCAAAATGGAGCTACACAGGGAAGGGGTTACTAACAGGAAAGCCCCATGTTTATGATGTCGTTTTCGGTTGCTTTTCAAGACTCACCTCTTGAGTTAGCCTGCAGCTTAACGTATATGAATAACATAATATACATGTCTAGACTACTGTGTCTAGAATGCTTCAAAGTGTTGCTTGACGCAGTCGTTTGTGGAGCAAGGCATGGGTGTTGTTCCATAGCTTTTGCGCTTCCGATTCATCATTTGCTAGGCTTGAGCAGTTACTTTCATTACAATCTGCAAAGTATTTCCCACTTACCCCTTCTGTTTTTGGGCTCAGAGCAACATAACACGTAGTTGATGCACCCTGCGTACATGCATTGACACGATTACCCCCACTCATTATGGGAAAATATTGCTTTACTAGTTCACCAGAATTCTACATAGCACGTTATTTAATTGATATCCAAAATAAAGTAATTTTACTTTGCCTAATTGTTGTGGTTCGCCATTGATATCTACATCTACGATTCTACACCAATCCCGCATTCAAAATCACTGCAACATGGCAGGGTTCGATACCCTTGTAGCCATGGAATATACTCATTAAGTGTATTGAACCGAATGCATTTGTTTACAAACCTGTGATGTCGATTTGAGTAACTTCGATGCGATGAAAAATAAGGAATCTGCGTGTAAAGGTTATGAATTCTCAGTAGTTTCAAACTTTCATCAAATGAAAATATTATACGAATTATTAAACTTCTGAAACTTAGGTACTTACCCGTTATTAAGCCCTTATGAGCTCTAATTATTCCCGTCTTCACAATGCCTGGATGTACTGCATTGATAGTTACTCTTGCATTCCTTGCCTGTAATTATATTCCAATTTCATGAATAATTTAATGGGACATACAAAAGTTTTGCTTACAGTAGCATGATGATCACTATTCACAAAGCTGAAAAGTACATTCTAACCTTTAGCTGTCTGGCTATTTCCTTGGCATGCAAAATATTGGCCAATTTTGACTGAGCATAAGCGCGTGTGCCATTATATCTATTATTTTTATCAGAAAGAGAAATAAAATATGGTCAGTATCCAAAATTGAGTGTAATTGCAATTGTTCGTAAATTTACAGAGAAGAAAGTAGTTGTACTTTTTTCCTTTGAGTATGTCGTTGAAACGAAAACCATCTCTCTTCACCCAGCTATGAATCACAGAAGAAACGTTTATTATTCTTCCTTCAATACCTGTCTTCTCTGCCGTTTCTATCATTTTGTCTAGTAAGATTTCAGTTAACAAAAAGTGACCTACAATTCACAAAAAATATGTAACTTCAATAAATGTCTCTTTTACAATTTCAAATGTCTTCATTATTCCATGCTGTTATTCTAATTTTCTCGGATTACAACAATGACAATACAACGTAATTAGGGAAAAAAAAAAGGATTCAAATCTTCTTATCTCCTTTCTTGTTAAGTATAGGAAAATATAAAAGAAAATTATTGTCAAGTAAACGCTTTTGAAAAATCTTAGTCTATAAACTATTAAATATGTACACCTCAATTGTACTAATTTTTATCGTAAGTTTTCAATATAAAATAGGACTAAATGGAAACAGTAATTTTGATTCCCAAAAACAAAAGCAGTGCACTTTAGAAACGGGCCATTGAGGGCTTTGGACTTTGAGCCCATAAAGAATAGCGCATTCCTAGTGCTCAGTGTTTGTGGACCAAAATGAAGCCTAAAGTGATATACAAGCTTTCCCCATGTTGAAGTAGTGGACCCAAACGGAGCCTAAAAACATAGAAAATTGGGTATTTTATGTTTTTTGGTGGGGGGACCATAAACGAACTAAGTTACCTTTTTTAGATATGTGATGATGCAAACTTTTTATCAACTCGTTTTTATTTATTTATTTTAATTATTACCAAATAAGCGAATATTAAAGAAAAATCGACAAGGATCTATCTCTGGTGTTGATTACAGTTTTAGTTCCCCCCTAATGAGCACTTCGTTCAATATATCCAAGTTTTGGATACCTCAAACCTTTTTTATGTTAAAACTAAAATAAAACCAAACTATACAATTTTAAGTTTGTGAATATAAGAATTATGAGTAACATTATACCTTAATGTAAAAGAGACGAGAATTCAAAATTATTTTGGAATGATATTTTATAGATCATTCTATATATCCGATACTCTGAATTTGAAGATTTCTGGACACTGCCGTCTATTCTGAATGGTGGTCACCGACGACCTCAGAAAAAGAGTTGCGTGCAAAATATGCTGAATGAGTAGATTTCAAAGATTTAATAGTTATTTCAATCTTAATGCAAACCCTAAGAAAAGAACAAGAACTAGAAATTACCTAAATAATTTGTAGCAAATGTCATCTCAATTTTATCTTCAGAGAACTCCATGTTTTGAGAGAATATCCCTGCATTGTTTCTGTAAAATTAATTTACTCTACACATTAGTATATCATATAAAATATCACCGACTTTCTCATTTTTCTTTTACAATGATAATCATAAATTACCATCCAAATTTCTTTTTTAATGTGAATACAAAGGTACAAAATAAAAAATCATATATAATAAAATTTTATTAAAAACCACATGAGATATTACAAGTTTCAATAAATTGATAACATTAAAAATTTACTATAAAGTCCAATTCATTAATAATATTAAAATCCATATATAATAAATTTTTACTTATTTCAACACACATTAAAAAAAGATTAATATAAAATGAAAAGTTGAAATAATATGATTACAAAACTTACACGAGGATATTAAGGGGAAGTTCTAAAGCTAAGAACTCGGAACAAAATCTTTGTATAGAACCAAAAGAGCTAAGATCGATCTCCAACAAAATAACCTCTGCGTTTGGACTCTCCTTTTGTATGTTCTTTCTCACTTCCTTGGCTTTTTTCAAGTCCCTCGCAGCAATCACAACTCTCACTCCTCTCTTTGCTAACACCCTAGCTGTTTCAGCTCCAATACCAGAACTAGCCCCTTCAATTAAAAATTCAACAACAATAAATTTTTTATTAATTAAGCTAATCTCGCATGTATATCACGTGCCTAGTTAACAAAAATAATATATAGCATTCTTGAGATTATGTCACTCTTATATTAGGGTATATAAAATGGGGGCAGGGTATATTTTTTTGAGTGGGGAAAAGGAGATATGATCTAGATTGAGTTCATGGTGTGTGTAGTGTAGATGGGTGTTCGATCATGTCTCAACTCAATCAAAGAAGAGTGCACAAAAAGAGACAACCATATCATATGCTGCGGCTTAAAAGAACCACACCATCTTTTGTGGTACACTCATGGGAGAGAATTAACCAACAGGTTAAAAACTTAACCACCCACCTTCCCCAATGCTGCAAAATTAATCATCAAGAAATTAATAACCGTACAATTACTATAAATTTTGGCTAATAATTTTGTAGTAAGATTTGGATAAAGATTCAACTAAACTACATCCTCAATTTTTAATTGATGAATAAAAAGAGATGTTGTAATGAAATGCAAGTGAGATGTTCTACGTGTAAACAAGTAATCGTCCTTCAAGAATTTTCAAAACCAAGCAGCAAAACCATGTTTGTATGAAAATATGTTCGAAAACATGAATATAACCCATAACTTATGATTAATAAATACTAAATAAACACTGATCCATAAGTTTTTAAACGTAAATTCAAAAATATAAAATCCACACACGCATAGACACACACATCACTCAAACCAAGTCATCAAAGGCCACGACGAAGAAAGAACAAAAAGATAAAAATAATAAAAGCCAAACTTGGTTAGTATAGCAATTTTGGTCACAAAAAATAACAGAGGAAGTGGCGAAGGATCGACGATGATATGATTAAGCTTTTCATGGTTGGCATATATAGTAAGTAACATTTAGAGGCTGTGTTTTGAGACTTACCAGTGATGAGAGCTGTTAGAGCAGAAGGAAGAAAAGAAGAACAATCTTCAGTAACTTGCTCAGCTGTTGAATTTGAGCCAAAACCACTTGGGCCTGCAATTCCTGCTAAGTATCTTAGTGTTGGCTTCATGGGTTTATTTGCTTTGCTTCCTTTACAATATTGCAAGGACAAATAGCATTTCAGGGTGGGACTGAAACCACATGAAGCTATTTTATATACGGTTATATTTATATATTATTATAACAGTTACCGTATACCAAAGAGTAATTATTATTTAAATTTTACTATTTTAAAGTGTGGAAAAAGAATTTATCTAACATTCATTTAAAATAAATTTAAGTTTATAAGATACTTTAACTAAAATAAATAATAAGTATTTTAATGTATAGTTTATTCAAATGTTACATGTCAAATTTTAGATAAATTAAATATTCTATATGATATTTGTTTATATTTTCAAAAATATATTATACATTAAAATACCATTGTTTGATGAAATATTAAAATAATTTTTTAAATTTTGTAAATTTGATTTACTTATTAATAATTCTTAAATTAACAGTTGAATTAATAAAATTTGATATCTATAAATTAATTAAAACTTACTCTTAAAATAAGTAAATTCCCTCTCTCTCTCTCTCTCTCTCTCTCTCTCACACACACACACACACACACACATATATATATATATATATATCATAGTTTAAATATTTTTACTTCTAACAAAATTACTTCTCTTCTGAAAAAATTAACAATAAAAAAATTTCTTATAGTCTCTATTAATTAATCCTTGGACCAAGCAGCCACCTAA